TTCGAATCACGTTTTACAAGCTAGGGAGCAACAAGCAACTAATCCTCTCATAAAAAACAATGAACACTGATTTCTTACTTTTTACGGGACAAGCATTCTTCAAGTCTAAGTTCACCAACGGAAGAATTTATTCAAGAAGGAAACGACATTGAAAATTCTTTTCCTGCTTGTTCTTGCTGTGAGTGGAATGCCTAAAAAACAGAAATAAATCTTGTCGATATTGAAGCAACCAAAACAATGTATGGCAAACAACTTAGATTTTTCAATGAGAAATTAATTATCGGGTGGACACGGAAAAATCCGGTCAACTTTAAATTGAGATTTCTCTAAAACCATAATTGCTTTTTATTTCAATTTTTTTATTATTAAATGTGTTTACATAAATTAGAGTTTCAACTTAAATTTAAGGGACTTGATGGGTTGCTTGGCAACAAATCGAACTTTATAGCGGGTTGATGCCATCATTTTACAGATTTTTTCTTTTTTCACCATGTTGGTGGCATTAATCTACTTTTTTTGGAAGTCCTTTTTATTATTTGTTAGTCCACCTGTCTTACGAAGAACTCCTTTAACTAATGCCTTAAAATCTTCAATCTTGCGCTCTTCAGGACGATTCGGAGGATTCGCATCTTTAGGAACAATTTTCACATTATTTTCTTTGCACCACTGTAAAACTTTTTTAGAATAGTAAGAGGCAACAAGATCGGGCCAAAAGAGAAATCGGTATTTGTGTTTTTTTATAAAAGGCAAAAGTCTTTTTTGGAGGCATTCTTTGATGTAGAGATTGGCAGTCAAGGTCTTTTTAGTGACAAAACAAGAGGACTGCGTACCACAGCTACAAATTGCTTGCCACACAAGGAACTTGGATGCAAATTTTTCTTGTCGAATATATTTAAATTTATCATCGACAGGTTTATCTTTGTTTTCATAGTAAAACTGTTGACTAGGAAGTTATGAAAAATCCGCCTTGCAATACGTTTCGTCGTCTTCAATTATGCACATATTTTTATCCGCCATTATTTTAACCAACTTCTTTGCGCGTCGAATTTCTTTAACTTCACAACTTAAGATTCTCTTAGGTGTATTTTTTTTATGAAATGCTTTAATTCCAGCATTTTTAAGTACTTTTTTGATATTAGAACGAGAAGTCTTAAATTTTCTTGCTAGATCTCGCTGTGACTGATTTGAATTTCTTGCTATTGAACGTAAAATCGACTTTACCTTTTTGGATTTATGGAAAGTTTTTTTTCTTCCACTTCCAAGTTTTCTTTCGAAGCTTTGAGTAGTCTTGAACTTGTTTATAATATCTATGACTGTAGATTTTGGGACATTTGTGTGTTGAGCAATCAAGCGATAGGAAGTCGATGGATTTTTGCAAAAAAAATTCACAACTTTTTTACGCACCTCAACTTGTTTCCAAAACAATTTGCAAATCATTAATTTGTAAACAAAATATTATCAACACCATTTAAGATAAGGAAGTAAGGTTTAATTAAAAAAAAAATTAAATAAAAAGCATTTGTGGTTTTGGAGAAATCTCAATTTAAAGATGACCGGATTTTTCCGTGTCCACCCGATATAGATTACCATTGGATACATCTATGTCATTCCAAAAAGAAAAAATTTTGCTATATTTGCTTTCAAAAAAAATCTGGTATCTTTTTCAAAATGCGATGAACAAAATGTTTTGATTATTGGTTATGACAATTGGAAAGAGGCCGTAGACAGACTGAGAAAATACGACCTATTATCATTTCATAAGGAGGCACAGGAAATATTATTTACACTACATGCAGCAGGTTTAAAAACCATACATCAAATGATAAGTGAAATGCATTATAAGCAATACAATGAGCATTAGGAGTGCTTAACTCGTGTAATTTCTACATTAAAATGTGTTACTCAACAAAGCTTAGCTATTCGACCGAATGATGAAATTAAAGGCAATCTTAATCAGTTACTTTTAATGAGGAGTGAAGATTATGCAACTCTATCGAGCTGGCTGTCAAACACTAAGTAAGTTTCTTATGATATTGTTAACGAGATGATAGAACTAATGGCAAATTCTGTGCGAAGAAATGTACTTTGTGCTATTAGAATATTTTTTTCTGTAATATGCGATGAAACTCGAGACATTTTGGTATTGAGTAAATGTCTATATGTGTTCAATCAGAAAATTTTACAATATACGAAGATTTTCTTGGTCTATGCAGTTGATGCTACCGACAGTAAGTTTCCTTTTTATGCTTTTTATAGCAAACAAACTAAGTCAAATGGAATGAAAACTAGGAAATAGATGCTTACCAAAATAAGCTATTTTGTAAGTTATGAAACCCTTGTGAATATTTGGCATGCTATTTTTAACTCCTATCTACGCTATGGTTGTTAGATATGGGGAAAAACTTCATCCATTTATAAAAAAAACCTTATAAATCTTCAGAATAAATCATTAAGATTAATTCACTTTCAACCTAACAGTTTCAACCTAAAATTTTAAAGCTTGACGAAATTATCTACTTATTAAACTGTGTGCTTGAATGAGACATTGTCCACAATAATATGCACAGCTGCTTCACTACCTATTTTAAATTCACAAGTGATATTCATAGTTATAAACTTAGGTCTGTATCTTATTGTGGTCGCTCTAAGCTATTAAAACAAACACATAAGTGTTGTATAATGTCAATCAAGTCTTAATCAATTCACTGTTGGAACTCTCTTGCTGTTAAAGCTAAAAAAATATTATCCAAAATGACAAATACTAATGCCTTTACAACCCATAAAAAAAGTTTCTTCTCAATAAAAATAATCAATGAACTATCATTTATGCAATTACCCTCTAGTTATTCTTTATAAATAAATTTTTAATAAAATAAAAGTATAAAACTCATAAATAAATATATAAAACCCTTAAAATAGAAATAAAAATATAAAACTCATAAAACAAAAATAAAAATATAAAACTCTAAAAATAAAAACAAAAATATAAAATTCTAAAAGTAAAACATAAAAATGTATAAATGTTTATCTAGTCGCAATCAAATACCTTAATTTTCATCATCCTATAAAGTGTATATGGCTCTAAAAGATTGTGGCATTGTTATTAAACCATTTAACATGTAATAGATATACAATAAACTATTTCCTATGCAATCGCCCCTGCCTAATTCTCTTTAACCACCTTTTTTTTTTTAATTTATTTATTTTACTTTAATACATATTCAATATTTTTATCTTCTTCTAAAGCTCAATGCTTAAAAAATTCTGTTACACAAAGCTCTCCTAGGATTTCTTCTACTTCGTCTTTTTTTTCTTAGTCGTTAAACTTCTATCCATTTTTTTTTTCTTCTTTTCATCTGTTTTATTTTTTGTTATTGATATTATGATTCTTATATTTTGATTTTTCATTATTATTAATAATAATCATTATTTGCTACAAAAATTTTATTTTGATTATAGTAGTAAAATATATATAGATTATACTGTTTTGTATTACTGTATTTAATATTATTACTAATATTATTAATAATATTTATTTCTATTATTGTTAATAGTATTTATTATTATTTATTATTATTGTTATTATTGTTATTATTACTATTATTATGCTATTAGTATGCTATTATTTATACCATTATAGGTCTTTACACGTCATCAGTTTATACCTGTTTATAAACGTCCCGCATGATTGTATATATATATACAGTATTACTAAAGTGAAAATATATTAATTTGATTTGATTTTGATTTGATTTATGTAATATGTGATGTTTTGTTAAGATATGAACTAAACATGTTTTGTCAAGATATGAACTAGACAAAAAATGGTCCGGGGGCAAAGTTACGATGATGTTGCTTCAATGTCAGGGCATCTAAGTAGTGCTGCTAAACTATTTCAAGAAATAATTTAGCAGCACCACTATAAATGAAGCGATTTTTATAAATTGCTACGTACATCTGCTCAACTTTGTTCTTTAATATGCTTGTAAACAAGTCAGTTATATGAACGAGGGACAAGAATTGTGTCAGCTATTATGTATAATTTCATTAATTTAGCTCCAAAGAGACTGGTAAGTTTTAAAAACTTGCTAAACAATATACTTGACAAAGATGTCAAGCAAATCAATTTAAGTGCTCCTTGTCCAACTCGTTTTACCACGAGAATTAATAATTGCTTTTCCACCGCAAATGGTGATACGGACATAAAAGCTTTAGATAATAAAATGGTTTTCTATAAAAAATGACATAGCTTATGAAAAATTAAAAGCTGAAGTCTTTCTTTTTAAATCCATTAAGGAAACTTATAACATTACGTATAAAATGAACATTAAACAGGTAACATCAATAACAACTATAATTAATATATTAAACGACTGTAAAGGAGTCTCAATAATGTTTTTTGAAATACCAAAAGTTCTAAAAATTTACTTGGCGATACCATTGACAACCTGCACAGCCAAGAGATCTTTCTCTCATCTAAAAATGATGAAGTCATATAGTCGGTCGACCTCGGATCAGAAGCGATTGAATCTTCTACTTCTTCAATTTTATAAATTGAACACCGCAGAAATAGATGTAAAAGCTATAGCAAAAGATTTCATATATGAAAAAAGTTAAGACACCAGAATTTCCTAATTTTTTTAGAGAACGTTAAATAATTTTTATATTGTAACATATTCTTTTAAATTTAAATTTTAGTAAATTATGTTTATAGTTGATTTTATACTTTATTGAAAATGGATGCATGTGGTTTTCTTTTAAGAATAACTGAAAATCAGTATTAGTTTTATAAATTTGCAAAATATTTTAGCCCCCCCCCCCCTAAAACTTTTTATTTCCTTTCGCCACCCCTCTTTAAATAGATACTATGAAGATCAATGGTGTTGAAGATTAATGGTGTGTACTTAGTGGTAAAAATTAAATATAAAGTGTTTAACACATTAGGTTTTGCTTTTAAATTGTTGTTTTTAAACAAATTTGATGTAAAACACATAGTCATATAAGTTAGTGCTCAAACGCAAATTTTTCTTCTTAAAAACTTTACATCACTTTTAAGTTATTTACTTTACAAACTGTTGCAAATACACGAAGTACATTTTTTAAATAATTAATTTACAAATTATGCATAGAATAATATAATTCAAGAATACTTTGTAACATTTATTTTTTTTTACATTTAACTATTAATTTGCATTTTAGAAATACTTTAAGAGTACGTTTCTAAAATACAGGCGCCTAAAATGGGCTTAAAAAATAAACTTTAATTTCTCCAATCAGCAACGGCTGTTGATGGTTCTTTTTCAGAGACATCATTACGACCATTGGCCGTAACAAGAGACCCATCCTACATAAAAAACATAAAAATAAATATAATATTATCAAAACTTTCATATAAATAAACAAAAAACTGTCAGAGCATTTTAACATCAGTTTTGTCTTTCATTTGCAACTATAATTTCAAATTTATTTTTGTATATTATAAATAAATATTTATAACAGCAAGTTAAAAGACTTTTTTTTTGAAATTATATGTTCATCATATACGATCTCGACTAAAGTAAATTTAAGATAATTTGGTAGAAAGTAAACAAATATATATCGGAAAATTCTATCAAAAGTTACCTTTCTACAAACAATCAATTTAGGTATTGAGTTGACATCTATAAGCAAAACAAAACATAACAGTTATTTGATAAAATTTAAAACAATTTGAAAAGAAAGAGTAAAAAAACAAACCAAATATATTCTTAAAAGTATAACTTTTCAATGAATTGTTTATTAAAATAACAAAATGAATTATTTCTATTTTCAATACCTTCATTCCTTTACTTTACCTTCATTCCACAAACTTATGAAATAATTAGGAAATGTAATTTTCTAATGGGTTCATAAGACTGTGAAATTATTCTCGCTGCACTGGGTAATTATTTTCATCCACTTTTAAATAATAAATACATAAAAATGAGAAACCTCACAAATGAATTTCAGTTTCTAATTTTTATCATTTTCACAATTTGAAAATAACAGTAATAAAAACAGATATATATATATACCAAATTTTTCCTTTAGTTGATACACTAAATCAGATTCATATTCCACACAATACCAATCACCATGAGCTTCCTACTTAAATATTTGTAAAATTAAAAAGTGGCATTTAATACCAATTCAAACGACATTTAACTTAAAATTATATATACAACATTTAGATATACAACATTTATTTATTTTATATATATACGCTATATGGTATCATGTAATATTTTTAATGATATTAAAATATTATATGATACCATAAAATAGACTTAATACTGCTGCTGTTACTAATTCGTGAGTGTTTGACACCGAACTCACGACAGCCATTTGAAAAGCCTAATTTTAAATTTAAAACAAAATTTTATTCAAATTATTTTGTATTAAATGAAAAAAGTTTTAAGATTATTAAGATAAAATAAAAAAGTTTTTTTCCAGCTATTTTACTACTCCCTCTTTTAAAATATTCTGGACCAAAAAAACAGAATTAAAAAAAATCTGTCAAAATAGTATTGTAGTATGTTTATATTTTTATCAGCCAACTGAGATGCTTTAATCTAAAATTGCACGAGGGATTGTTGATGTGCGCGCGGTTAGATCATCAAATCTGCTTTTCTTATCTTTCTTATAAATCTCTAAAATAGTAAATCTATCAAATTTTTAAAATTTCTTTCTTTATCTGTATGTGTAGGCATAATCAGTTTCGAAATTTAAACGTGTAAATCATATTGTATGACAATTTGAACTAATCATGTAATCAGTCTATGTAATTTATCAATAGGTAAACCTTATTTTTTATTATTCTTTTTTTAGAAGTAGATGTCAGTTAGTAGATTGGTAAATTTTGAGTTATAAATTCATTCAACCTTATCATTATTGGACTATCTATTTTGTAGATAGTGTGTTAAATCATGGTGGAAATGATCACTAAGTAAACCGTTTTTTTTGTAAATAGTGCGTTAAACCATAGTGGAAATAGTCACTAAGTACTAACAGTATTAGTGACAATTTTCTTTTAAGTATAAGTAAGTTGCATTCCATTTTATAACAAGTTTAAGTTCATTATTATTATTTAGAAGTATTAACAAAAGAATTATTACAGATTTTTTTAAAGTTTGTTTTTTAAATTGTTTGGTTATGTTTAAACAATCACTAATTTGGCTTGGCAATAAGACTATTTTGTCTTCTTCTTTCCCCCGCCAGATGTATATTTTATAAATACGAGAGTTGTAATTATTTTAAACGGCAAACTTATAATAATAAAAAAAAAAAAAGAAAAAAACATTTAAAACTTTAAGGATTCCGTAACAAAGTTTTTATCTGTAATTATTTATTATAAAGTTAATGTATTATAAAAAAGCAGTTATATTGGTAGCAATAAGAATGATAGTAACAACATTAACAACAGTAACAGGTAAATTGATTTTAAGTGTTTATATGTTTACTTCTGTTATCATATCATAATTACTTTTTTTCATTTTAGATTTAACTTTTTTTTTTATATATATATTTATAGCAAATGATAATTTAGTATAATGCAGAATGAATAAAGAACTCCTATAAAACACATATAGTGTGGGCGCAATTTTGTGGAAATTCCCCCCTACCCTCCTTTTATTAGGTGAGTAACATTCTTATAAAGCGAAGTATTAGTGAGAGACATCTGAAGAGAGAGATTTGTAGGAAATCATTACGCTACATCTATAGTTAGTATTTTTGTAGTTTATCAATCTACTAATTGTAGGTGTTCTACAATCTACTAATTGTAGGTGTTCGACAATCTACTAATTGTAGGTGTTCTACGAGATGTAGATTGTTTAATTGTAAAATTAGTAATATTTTTTGTAAACATATATTTTTTAGCAGAGGCGATTCTACAAATAACATGAGGGGAGGGGGGAGGGGGGGGAGGTAAGTCCTTAAATATAAAATAAAATTTAAACTCCCTTTTTACATACACCCTGTTTAATTTGTGCTTTGTTAAACTTGTGTTTTATTAAACATAAAACATGACCGTTGATTAGATCAAAGTGTCGCTTAATTCGCAAGTTCTTATATTATATATTATAGCATTTCAAAGAAAAAGTTAATCCATTGGAGAAAAAATGTCATTTTCTTTTAGGCAACTAAATATTAAATTAATTGTGTTGAATTTTAGGTATTTCTTTTTTGTATACAAGGGATACAAAAAAGGAAGACAGAGAGTTAAAACAAGAAGTAACTATTTATAATTGCATCGATAAAAACTAGTCTATGTTCATTGGTTTTCTTTGATGATTAAGCATTTGTGGCAAAAAATTAGGTCGTTTATATCCATTTTTTGGACTTATTAATTGTAAATTATTATTTAGCCAAGTTGTTAATCCTTTATGAGAACTATTATCTCCTTTATTTTTTATTTAACAGGACATGTTTTTAATATAACTTTTTTAATAACTCGATTGTACAAGCAAGTAATAATGATATTTTTTTATAACTTGAATCTTTTTTAATCATTAAAAAGTTCAAATATGCTTTGAACAAGCTTAAAAATTGTATTTCAAATTATTTTAAACTGGTTATCTTTGTTCCTTTGTTAGACCGTCTGTGTACTGAGTTTAACACAATGTTCGATGATACAACTTAAAGTTTTATAAAGTATCTGTGTTTTAGTTTCTTTGTTCTAATCTTTAGTTGCTTTAAAAAGGAAATTGCAGAAGTTCAGAGTTCTTGTTATACCAGTTGGAAATACCACAACATGTCTTTAAATGTCTTTTATTTACAAATGGTTTTATTAGTCTTACTTAGCCAAACCAAAGGCTTTATTGTGTTAGTTTAGCCTGTGGGAAATTTAGTTGAATTTATTTAACTGGCTGATTTTCAAACATGAATTCCAACTTAAAAATCCTGAACATTATAAGCAACAAATCTTTTCTTTACTGAGGCGCCTAGAAGGTTATACGAGAATGGTAAGAAAAAAGTTGCAAAGCAAAATGGTAGATAAAGTTTAAATGGTTTAGCAAAAACGTTTTTAACAAGTTTGTTATAAATACTTATGAAGTGTGATTAAAATAAAATTCAAATGTAATAAAAGTATAATTTCAAATATCTCCTTTTTTGTTAAACAGCTATTATCGTAGCCAGAAATTTTTGTAAAAACATTTTTTAGCATTGCACAGCTATAACAACTAATTTTTTTTTACTCTTGGTAAATATTTGTAAAATTTATATATAATTAAAAGTTATTTAAAAAATTATAGAAAAAAAACTTACACAGCAAAATATTAAAAAATTTTTTTTTTTTACAAAATAGTGTACGGACGTAATCAATCAATATGAACTTGAGCATAAATAAACAAGTTGATTACCAGATAGTTAATTATAAAAAATCTTTTGTACCTTATACGTTTTATTTTTGTTATAAATAAAATTTATAAACTTTGGCGCCTACTTAGGATTTACTATTTGATTTTTATCTTTTATGGTAATATCATGGTGTAGAATTTTGAGTAAAGAATCTTGTATTTATAAAGTTATAACTTGTATATATTATACATAACGTCATTTGAGTATTTTCAAAAAGTAATTTTTTTAATTTGCAAAAATCATATTTTCAGCTTTGGAGACCATTTTAGCAATGTTATAAGTCATTTAACAAATTATTAATTCATTTTCATAAAATACACTAAATCTGGTCAAAACAAAAAAAACAAAAAAACAAAAAAATTGGGGCATAATTTTTTTTGGACTTACTCAAAATATTTCCTGTACACGCCCCTGCTTACATAAATATAAACTAGTGTATTTTACATTTTGTTATTTTGGTAAAAGCTTCTCTTAATTTAAAATCTTATTTGCCTATAAATAAAATTCTCACCAGCAGAATTAAAGTAAGGGGATGCAGTTTTATTGGAAGGATCTGTTTTATCATAGTTAGGGGTGTACCGGAATGGAAATTTGAAAACCTGTCAGGAACCAGATTTGACGCAATTTCCAGTACAAGTACTTTATTTTCTATTTTTATAGTTGAAATATTTACTGTTATAGGCATCTTATATTTTGTTAACATTTTTCAGAGGCAGGTAATGTTTTTGATGAAAAAAGAACTAGTTTGTTGCCCAAAACAGGGGAGCAACTCTTTTTCTACCACAATTTTCCTAAACTTCCAGAAATCTTTGGATAATTGATTATTGCATATAAAATTACATCACGTTTGTTTATTTTTTTTATTTTAGATTTATTAAACACCCACTATACAAGTAAGATAAATTAAGAGTTTCATACAAGATAAATGTAAAAAATCTTTTTTTTTTTTTTTTTTTTTTTTTTAACGTGATCATCTAGGAATATGTTTTTCAAGAATGTCCTTGAAGATAGTTCTCTGCTCTTTTAAGTTCCAGTACTCAACTGCACATTTTAGAGTTTGAAGATCCATTTCAGGAATTAAATTTTTGAGGCATTTTTATTTTTATTTTACTTTCCATTATTGTCTCCAGATTTAGTTCATGATTATTGCACAACCCTTTGATACTATCTAAAAAATGTTGTGGGGCTGTTTTGTTTTTCAGCTGCGACTTAATAATATCATATGTCATTTTATTATTCATCAGGCGAATAAATAAGTTTAGCTTGTTTTGTTGTATAATAATTGATATATCTTCAATAAAAAATAAGTTATGAATATAATTTTTGCTATGTTTTGAAACATCGAGGAGTGACTTAAGTGCATTTCTTCCTACTATATCAAGCTTTTGCATTAAAATTTTTTATGTTCACACAGCTCAAGACCATACGTTAGTGTTGGAGCAGCTAAAGTTTTATATAACTGAACAATGGAGTTTGGGTGAGCAAAACGGATTCCTGATTGAATTAAGGTTTGGATTACCGTCCGGAAATTAGATATTCGGTGATCAATGTTTGATTTATATGTATTTTTTACCAAAATTTCTCTATAGTTCTTTATTGCCCTATAAGACAATGATTTTTTAATTTAATTTACAGTATGCGTCACATGTCTTAAGAAATAAAGGTAAAAAATAAATTCCTGCATTCCGACCCTAAATATCGTAATTCCGGCCGGAACCGGAACGAACCAAAAGTAACGAACTCTGGTTGGAAGTTTGGTCAGGATTCAGGTACCTCCCTAATTAAATTAGTAGGAAAATATTACATTACTAACTAATCAACGGGGCCAGGTTTCTTTTAAACTCTAAGACTAGTTCTTTCTCCCTGCGTTTATTATAAAAATTTAAAGTAAGAAACTTTAGTTGTTAACTAAAAACCAAAATTTTTATAAGAATAGTTTTTTACCGTTAATTAAAAAACATAACTCGATCCATAATTTATTAGTCCAAACAGCCAGTATACATGTTTTATATTACGACTTAAATGTTTATAAAATTATTGAGATTTCAAAATTTTTATCACAAAATAAAATAAATAAATATGTCAAAAACAAATAAATAAAACAAATAAACAAATAAAACAAGTAAACAAGTAAAACAAGTAAATAAGTAAAACAAAGTTGACAAATTTTAAATTATTTAATAGCAAACTTTTATTTAAAAAAAGCAATTTTTGTTTTGACTAGCTCTAGACATCTTCAGTTGGGTTATAGTAAAACTATTCAATTTAGTAATTAATTATACAAACAGTAATTAAAATTACCATTTTTGACAAAACAAGCAAATTGTATAAATAAAATACAATTAAAAAAAAGGTTTAAGGCTCAGATAAAGTGGTATCATAATTATAGAAAAGAAAAATTTTGTAATCAGTTTATCTTTAATTCCATTCAGTGAACAATCTTTTATTTTAGACTCGAAATTTTAGAAGCAGATCTTAATATTGATAAGGCATCATTGCTATAATTGAAAAAACAGACATCGTTGGCATGGAGATGTTTGTCTCTTTATCTGATAACAACATTACAACATTATTTCAAAATATGAATATCGAATTAACAAAAATTTTTGAATAGTTTAAAATAAACAAGCTTTCACTTATTGGTGAAAAAACTAATTGGATACTTTTTCATCCAGCTTCTAAAAAAAAACTTCTGTCTTGCTATTTACCATTACTTTTTATTGACAAAATTCTAATAAAAAGAGTAATTAATACAAACATTTTGGGTTCCTATATCAATGAAAAGTTTAATTGGAAATATCTGTGTGTGTTTGTTAATAAAGAAGATTTTAGTAAGTAAAAATCTTTATAAATGTTTATCCAAAAATTAGGAATATAGCAAAACTATATAAATATGTTTCATTTTTTTACAGTTAAATATGGTGTATCATAAAAAACGAAAAACCAATAGACTACCTAGAGGTAAAGTTAATGAGAATGAAATGCGAGCAGCTGTTAATGCAGTTCTTAATGATAGCACAGTTTATCGTGTATCTAAAGAGGGGGGAATCAATTTAATGACACTTAAGAGATATGTAAGGAAATGTCAATTAAATCCATATACAGTCTGCAAACCTAACTTCATTACCATGCAAATCTTTACCAACGAAGAAGAAACATCTTTATCAGTTTATCTTTTAAGGGCCTCAAAACTTCACTATGGATTATCAACCAAAACAACACGAAAACTTGCCTATGAATTTGCAATGACTCTTTCTAAGCGCATTCCTAAATCGTGGAAAAGTTTACAAATTGCTGGGAAACAGTGGCTTCGTGGTTTTATGTTACGTAGGAAAGAGTTATCTTTAAGAAATCCAGAAGCTACTAGTATGGCACGAGCAACTGCTTTTAATTGTTATACAGTCGGAGAATTTTTCACCAATCTAAAAGATGTTCGTCAACGACACAAGTTTCAGCCACAAAACATATATAATGTTGATGAGACAGGTCTCACAACTGTTCAAAAACCAGTTAAAGTAATTGCTAAAAAGGAGATAAACAAGTTGGAAGGATAACTTCAGAAAAAAGAGGGACATTGGTAACAGCTTGTTGTGCAGTCAATGCAATAGGAAACTCAATCCCTCCATTTTTTATTTTTCCAAGAGTTCATTTCAAAGGAAGTATGATAAATGGTAGTCCACCTGAATGTGTTGGGGTTGCAAACCCATCTGGTTGGATGAATGTTGCAACGTTTTTAGAGTGGATGAAACATTTTATTCAAAATGTGAAATGTTCACCAGCCAATCCAGTGCTTTTACTTCTTGACAACCACGAGAGCCATGTTTCAATTGTGTGTTTAGATTTAGCTAAAAAAAATGGCATAACTATGCTGTCCTTTCCACCACATTGTAGTCACAAGTTGCAGCCATTAGATTGGTCATTTATGGGCCACTGAAACGTTATTACAATGTAGTCTGTGATGATTGGATTGTATCTAATCCAAGACCGATGACCATATATGATATAGATTCAGTTGTAATGAAAGCCTATGCACAAGCTTTTACTTTGTCTAACATTTCTGCAGGATTTGCTGTGGCAGGAATTGAACCCTTTAATCCTAACATATTTTCTGATAATGAGTTTTTGTCTTCATATGTAACAGACCGTCCAGAACCTATTACTGCTAACCCTTTTCCAGGTGTTGTTGATCCAGTTCATGCCCCAGCTTTTAGTCAAGGGAGCATACTGGTATGCACCCATGACCCTAATTGAGCATTCTTAGTTTTTATAACTTTAAATCTACTTAAAATATTCTGGTAAAAAAATGATAATTGAATTATAATAAGGTATAAAATTTGCTATTATGTACTGTTATTTTAGAGATTGAAATAAAAACATATATTCAGTAAGTTGGCCTGATAGATTTTTAGGATCATGGGTGCATACTCTCACCTAATAAAGTTGCTAAAAGTATAGACATATTGTATAAAGCTAGAAGTGCTTTAAATAAACGTAATTTAACTCAATTATATTCCTCCTTTATCCATTTTCATTTAAACTATACAAATGTTGCTTGGTGTAGTGCTAATAAATCTAAACTTAGGCATCATTGTCTTCAACAAAAACATGTTGCTCGTCTTAAAAATTTTAAATATAGATTTACTCATGCCAAGCCTCTTTTATTTGAAATGAAAATTCTTAATATATATATATATATATATATATATATATATATATATATATGTATATATATATATATATAAATCAGCTAAATGTTTTTAATATTCTTTGTTTTATGTACAAATGTAAAACTAACACCAACCCAGTTTCTTTCAATAATTTATATTACTTAAAAGATAAAAATAAATACAAATTAAGAAATTATAATTTCTTAAGTTGTTTCGTCAACCATTCTTTCAAACTAATTTTGGAAAAACAAGCATTATATTTCGCGGAGCTTCTCTTTGTAATAAAATAGTTTTAAAACATTTTGATTTTTCTTTGGAATGGAGTTACCTCTTATTCAAAAAAAAGTCTAAAGAAATCATTTTGTCTATAGACAAAATGATTTCTTTAGACTTTCTTTAGAAATCATTTTGTCTATAGACAAAATGATTTCTAAAGAAATCATTTTTTCTATAGACAAAATGATTTCTTTAGAATTTTTTTTGAATAAGAGGTAACTCCATTCCAAAGAAAAATCAAAATGTTTTACAAACAAAATACAAAGAAAAATCAAATGCAGATACTCAAAGAAGACCATCAGGTCATGTCACAAATTATACAAAGTATAAATGTCGTAAATTAAATTGTTGTAAAGTATAAAAATATAAATTAAATTGTTAAGATTAAAAAATCCTTTTACCACTAGAAAATATAAGTAAACAAAAAAATATACAAGTATTTGATTTAATAAATAAAAATAAAGCGGACACTGACAGAAGATTATCAAGTCTTCATTGAGAACCACTTGTAATTTTAAAAATCTCATAAAAATCAAATGCATACATACATGATAAGTGTATAAAACACAAGAAAAATTTAAGTCCATTTATATACCTACATACTCAGTTGCATCACTGCATAAAAAATAAAAAAGTAAATTATTCAATGTTTAAAAATACAAAAATATATCATTAATATATTGATGATATATTTCTTTATCAGCGGTTCTCTGTGACAAGACCTGATGGTCTTCTTTGAGTATCCGCATTCTTTATTCATTTGTTTTTTATTTATTCATTGTTACGATATCTGCACTTGTATTTTTCTCATGTATATTTGTATTTATATACAGGTGTGGTTATTTTCACCAATAAATAAACAAATTTGAAGTTTTAAATTAAGTATTTTTAATAAACAACAAATTTGAAGTTTTAAATTAAGTGAATAGTTAATTAACGGATATGGTTTACAGTTTCTTTTAGCTTTATTAATTAAACATTTAATTAAATTGAAATCTAAAAATTCATCATGAAACATGGAGGTAAGCAAGGAACTATTTATTTTATGTGTATATTGTTTAAAAAAGTTACCTGAGATTCTTTTTCTATTTCCATGGTAAATGAGATTTTCAGATCTGAGAACCGTATATAAATTGTGGTATTTATTTATTAAATATTGAAGATGTGATTGTAATAAAACATGTGACAATGAAAATGTAATGTGGTTATAAATAAAAATGATTTTTAATGTGATATTAGTGGTGATTTGGGAGAAATTAGTAATCAAAAGAAATGCAATGCAGGGAGATACAAATAGTGTTTCTGTGGCTCGACTATTGTACATGACACAATTTAAAGTCTTTTTCTATAAAAAAGACTGTTTTCTTTGTAATAAACAAAAAACTTTTATATCGAATGTTTTACAAAATAAAAACAAAAACAAAAGCCTAACAAACATTTTTAATATAAATAACAAACTAAAATTTTAATGGTAAATAAAAAAAATAATTTGCCTTCATGTAGTTTATCATATCTTCGTGGGTTTCATCAGAAGATATGAATATAACTTCTACACCAGAATCGTTTACAACCTAAATATATAAATTATATTTAAAATATAATATATATATATATATATATATATATATATATATATATATATATATATATATATATATATATATATATATATATATATATATACTATATATATATATATATATACATATATATATATATATATATATATATATATATATATATATATATATATATATATATATATATATATATATATATATATATATATATATATATATATATATATATATATATATATATATATGTTTGTTAACATATATATAAGTACAGTATCGGACAAAACAAGTGCAACCAAATAATGCTAATTTAGTTTCTTTATATAAAAGTGCTGCATTTAGAGAAATAACTATGTAACTGTTTAGAGACAACGTTCTTTAAGTTTTATTCATCACAAAGTTCATTATTTGTACACGAAACTTAATAAATTAATCAAAAGTATTAAAAAAAAGTTGTTTTCCTTCTGGAAAAAACAAGTGCAACTCCACAAAATGTTGACCAAGCTGTATTTCGCTATCAATATTTTGTTGAGAATCCTTTGTTGTTGATCACAGCCTTGTATCAATGAGGCATAGATTCGATCAGGTGATCAGTGAAACTTTGTGGAGTCGCTGCCCAGGCCGTTTGGATTTGTTCAAACAGTTGATCCTTAATACGAACACCTTCACGATTAATTCTCCGGTTGACGATCTCCCACAGGTTCTCGATAGAGTTGAGATCCGGAGATTGAGGCAACCAATCCATCACCGATAGGTGGTTGTCTTGAAACCACTGATTGACTACTACTGCAGTCTGTTTCGGATCGTTGTTTTGCTGAAAAACCCATTTTATTGGCATATTCCATTCAGCAAGAGGTAACATAATATCTTTCAGGATATTTTTGTACATAAAACGATCCATTATTCCATCAATTCAATCAATGTATTGGACCTAGACCGTTAGCAGAAAAACACCCCCAGACCATTACATTGCCTCTACTATGCTTCACCGTCTTATGGCAATAACGTAAATCGAGGCGTTTTCCGGCCGGTTGACGTACACAGCAAATCCCATCGCTCCCAACGATGTTGAATTTTGATTCATCACTAAACAGGACAGTTTGCCATTTCTGTACACTCCAGTCAATATGAGATGTAGCAAACATGAGTCTTTTTTTCTGGTTCTATAGTGAAATCAGCGGTTTCTTTGCAGGGCGTCGAGAAAGCAATCCAGCTTCAACGGCACATCGTCTGATTGTTTGGTCCGATACAGGATCTCGACTGATGATATCCAGGGATCCTTCTTGACGGAACTGACGATCTTAGAATACTTTCTAGAAGTGGTGGAACGCGGTCTTCCACCTTTGTTATCTGCTGCCAACTTCCCCGTAGAACGATATTTGGAACCTAGTCTTGATACGGGTTCTTTTTTCACGCAGTATTTATCACAAATACTTTTTTGTGACATTCCACTTACGTAATTGCCAATAATTTTCTTTCTTAGTTTCAATCCAAGACTGTCGGGAGCTATTTTTGCACTTGAGGTCATAAAAGTAATAAAAATAAATAATAACACTTCTCAAGGCTTACCGTGTTACATTCTGTATTACTTCTGCATGCTTCTGGAAACTTCTGGATTCTTCCTTTAATTATTAAAAAACTTCCATGACGTTGACACGGACCATACTTAAGAAAATGAAACAAGCCAAAAAAGTTGCACTTGTTTTGTCCGCTGCAAAATGGCACTTGTCAACGAAATTCTGCCGTGTGCTGTCACCTGTCAGCTGGTTGCTCATGTCATGGCATGCTATGACTCTAGACTCCTTAACTGTTTGCTGTGGTAGTATAGTTCGTTTCGTTTTTAAGACATGTAAAATTAGGAGCACTTTTTAGCATTGCTCGATATTGGTTGCAAATGTTTTTTCCAATACTATATATGTTTGTGTATATATCAATCTGTGTGTAAAAAGAGGTATATTGTTCTCTATGAAGTTGTAAATTCCTTAAATGAAATAAATAAATTATATTTCCTGAAATTTTGAAACAATTATTTACGATATAAGTATACACAAATCAACGGTTATTATTTGCAGAAATATACAAATACAATCTGAAAAAAATTGGTTAGTGGTCAAAAAATTTTAATTTTGGACAAAACTTTAAGCTTGTAACCAAGAGCTATCTAGTTCTTTGAAGTACGTCTAATAAACTTAACCGTACAAAATAGATACAGGTGACAGTGTATATATTTCTTTATTTACAGTTAAGTTAAAAATAATTTTTTATTGATAAAATTGGATTGTTGAACTTAAGTAATAATTAAAAGTTCCAATAATAACTTGTTGGAGGTTGTTTTATGTTTTTTGTTGGAAGTTGTTTTATGTTTTTTGTTGGAAGTTGTTTTATGTTTTTTGTTTTATGTTTTTTTGATAAGAAGTCAACTAGTTATTCTGATTAAAGTTAATCTGAAATTTGATTTAAAAAAAAAAAAGAAAAAGATTGACTTTTGCATAAAAACACAAAAGTGGTTATGATTCGCAGAGAAAACCTATTTGAAATTTTTAACTTTATGTATTATTTTATAGATTTGGTTATAAACTTTTTGAATTATTTTTTTAAAGTTTTGGTTCATTTAACTACTAAGATCTTTTTATCATTTCATTTTTTCGAAAAAAATTTAATATATATACATATATATATATATATCTATATATATATATATATATATATATATATATATATATATATATATATATATATATATATATATATATATATATATATATATATATATATATCTATATATATATATATATATATATATATAGACAGATAGATAGATAGATAGATAGATAGATATAGATATAGATATATATTATGTTCTTAAAGAACAGAGCAGTAATAAATTAGTAAAAACACTTACCCAATTTTTTCTTCTAAAAATTGTTTTACCATCAGTAGATTCATCAGGAAGCTTCCTGATGAACCTAAAATTAGATAAGTGTTTTTAATAGTATATTTTTTTTTTTTTTTTTTTTTTTAACATCTTCACTTCCAACAAGGCTGCAAGCAACCACTATAAGAGTTGGAAGTTACTGGAAGAGAAAAGACTAAATCTGTAGAGCAAGATAACGATTGACTGATGACTTAAAAGATTGCAAATTATATGAATCCGGAAAGCAAGATGAAGGAAGCGAATTATAAAGAACTGATGTTCGAGGAAAAAAACTAGAAGAATAAGAGTTTTTGAAGCACTTAGGAACAGTCACAGAAAAAGGATGAGACTTAATTGAATGGCGAGTAACACGAGAATGAATTTTAGTAGATGGCACAAGGGACGCTAGCTCTTTAGAGCAGTGCCCATTATAGTATTTGTAGAAAAGAGAAAGAGAAGCAACATTACGACGATGTGACAAAGGTTGGAGATTGGCTGCCAGAGCAGGTCCAACTATGTTTACAATTCGTTTTTGCACCTTGTCTAAAAGAGAAAGAGCATCATTAGAAGATCCGCCCCAGATGTGGCAACAGTATTCCATACAGGGACGGATTTGAGATTTATAGAGATAGAGAATAGAATCTGGAGTAAGAAAGTGTCGAGCTCGATAAAGAGATGCAACCTTAGCAGATGCTAATTTTGCAATGGATTTGATATACGGTTTAAAAGAAAGATCAGAAGTAAGAGTTAATCCTAGAAGATGAATGGTAGATGACTCATCTAGTACATTACCATTCATAAATATAGGAAGATCTAAATTATTACGATAACGATTGGCCGAATAAAATTGAGTTTTATCTGAATTAAAGTTCACCAGCCACTGTGAGCCCCATGCTGTAGCAGAAGTGAGATCCTTTTCAAGCTCAGATACCCCCTCCAAGCAATCAGAGAGTGTAGGCTTCTTATCATGACAAGAGTAAATGGTAGTGTCGTCAGCGAATAATGCCACCTTAGATGTGAGAATATCTGGAAGATCGTTAATGTAAATTAAAAAGAGTATAGGGCCAAGGATTGAACCTTGAGGAACCCCTGAAGTTACAGGATGTGAAGAAGAGTGTTGTCCATCGAGGACAACTTTTATACTACGATTGGAAAGAAAGGACTCAATAATCTTAAAGACGTTACCAGCTACACCGTAAGAAGAAAGCTTATGGAGAAGACCAGCATGCCAAACTTTATCAAAAGCTTTAGAAATGTCAAGTGCGATAGCCTTAACCTCTCCACCTCTATCTAATGCACGGTAAAACCTATCGGTTATTACTGTTAGCACATCAGCTGTAGAACGAGAAGACCGAAATCCATATTGATGATCAGAAAGTAAGTTATTTGATTCAAGATGAGAGATTAAGTGTTTGTTGATTAAAGATTCAAAAACCTTGCTTATGACAGGAAGAAGACTAATGGGACGGTAGTTAGATGAATCAAATCGCTCTCCGGAATTTTTGAAAATAGGGATAACAGATGCTGCTTTCCAGCATGATGGAAAACAAGACTCTGATAAGCACTTGTTAAATAGTTTAGAAAGTATGGATGAAAGCTCCAGAGAACACCTCTGCAAGACTACAACAGGAATGTTGTCAGGACCACAAGCTGTTGAAGAGTCTAAGCAGGAAATTACTTTAGATACAGAAGCTGAAGTGATGCAAATGTCAAGCAAGGGATCAACCTGTTTGACGGAAATATCAGGTAAAACACAACTAGTGGAATCAAGAGATGATATTGATGAAAAGTTCTTAGCAAACAATTCAGCTTTGTCTTTAGGTGAGGTGACAAAGTCTGAACCATACAAGAGAGAAGGAATAACAGATTTGCCCTTATTATTGATACTGTTAAAGATTCTCCAGAAGTCTCGAGAGCCTAATTTTTGTGATGAGACACGAGATTTAATGACCTGGGAATAGCGAGCTTTGGCGTCAGACAAAACCTTTTTACAATGGTTTCTGGCGATAGTGAACAGATGTCTGTTTTCTGGAGAATTGTTTTGCTGATAGATATGGAAGTAACGGTTTCGATTAGAAAT